AATGTTTGTAACAATAACTGCTACAAGAGCTAGGCAACAAATAATGCAATTCTGCACTTAACACAAATTTAGTTTAAATCTACTTACTTTCCTCAGTACCAAGAACTGGACCTTCAATTTCATTATCCAGGTTCACATACATGAGATCATAGTCATCATCTTCATCCAGAACAGAAACAGAAGCCCTGAAAACACAGAACAGGGTAAGCAGAGGAAGTATTTCTTGGGGCAACATTCTCTAGCTGCTTCCTGAAAATAGCTGTGCTGTCTGGAGCTCGAGTCCAAGTCAGACTTCAGCAGAGACAAGACTGCGAGTGAGATGCAGTGAGCCCCTAGCAAACGCTCCGAGCGCCTCGGCTTGAATGAATGAGCAGTGCTAGTGCCAGTGTTGTAATAAGAGCACTTCTGACTGTTGTTTTTGGCTGAGAGGAGAAGGGGGCGTGCAGCTTGCTCAATTCCAGCCTTTCAGGGTTGCACTGGGGGGAGATGTACTGACTCGCAGAGGGGAAGAAACGGGGAAAGCTGCTCTTGTTAACTACCACTTCCCCTCTGAGAACAGATTGCTGTAACGTGCAGCAATGCGAGGGTGAGTGTGGGGGGTGAAATCACTCAGAGTTTGCTGCCTACAAGCACTGGCTGCATCAGTTACGTTCTTCTGTGTTATTTGTGAAGAGGAAAGTTTCTCCTCAAACTCGTTTTGTAGTTGGTATGTGCCAGCACTCTGGAGGAAATCTGTAGAAAAATAAACATACCTGGAGTTGGTTTGGATACACATTTATGGTTTAAGTAAATATTGTAGCTTTTTTCTTTTTTTATAGTTATGTATAGAATCTTCTATTACATACTAACAGTTTACTCTTTAAGAAGTGGAGAACTCGTAAAGACAGCCTGTTAACGCTTTGCTTTTCTAGCCCTAATTACCAATAACAACATCCTAACTATGTGGGTGATACATCACTGCTAGTATTTGTTTTGGGAATGTGTAGATTAGCAGCTGCATGACTAGAGTTGCTTCTATGAACTCTGACAAAAAACCCTGAAACGAAGGGACTCCTGAATTAGACGTTAATCTAGTGCTAAGCATTATTGTTATTGGTGTTAATTTGTTGCAAATTCAGGAAAACTTTTTATTTCCATGGGCCATTAACTATTTCAGAGGTGCATTGTTTAGGTAAGATTAGGTGTAACATTGTACAAATTATATATGGGCTATGAAATAGAGAATAGCAAAAAAAGTAAATAATCCCACATAATTCCATCTAATTTGCAGTTTGTGTTGCCTTTCCATTTGAGTCTCTGGGTTTGCCCTTTATCACTGTACACACAGTGTGCGAAGAGGGCAATGTGCTTCTTTTCTTGCTCATTCTGCCTCTGACATCTGGGCCACAAGTGGGAGGTATGGCTGCATGGGGCAGCAGAGATGGTGTGTGTGGCCTCAACCATGGCCTGTCCTGCCGTGGGGCCAAGAGGCACTTTGCAGGTGTCACCTTCTGCTGAGAAGGCAGGTAGGGCCAGAGCTGCCTGCTCCCCAGCTCCTCCAGGCTTGCTCCATGCAGCCGGGGGCAGCACACTGCTCTGGCAGCGGCAGAAGGCTGCTGAGAGTCTGATACTGCTGTACCAGATGCCTTCCAGCACACAGCCTTGCTTCTGCAAACCTGAGCTACCCACACATTGGACTGTAGGCCACAGTACCGTGCTATTCCTGCATGCCACACCATTCCAGCGTCACCCCATGTGTGTATGGGATTTCTGCCATTGTGGTGCCTCCAGCTGGTCTCCTGCAAACCAAATAATAAATAAGAATGCCAACACAATATGTTACAAACCTCAAGTGTTTGGTAAAGCAGAGGTGAATGTTTTTGTGGATGTATGCGCCCAACTTGAGTCCTTCTGGGGAAAAAAATTAGTCTTGGTGCTTGGGCTTTTATCTTTGAATACTCATTTTGGAGTGAATATCAAACCACCACTGTATAGCTCCTCCTGCCCCTGCTGTCTGCAGAGTGGTTTTTACAAGCACTCTGTGCTGCTGGGCTGGGCAGAGCAAAGGCAGAGTGGAAGGCAACATTTGCAATTCATATGTGCAGAGGGAGTATGGCCAAAGCACACACAGGACATGGTCCTGGGGCAGCCAGGGGGGCACTGCCACCACTGCAGCATGCAGTTGTGGTTGCTTCTGCCATATGTGCTTCCTCCCTGCCTAACTTGCAGCCAACCGTGCAAAGCCATCGAATGTCCCCAACTGTACATTAGTTTCTGCCTGAATTGCATAATTCCCAGTGTGTGGTCTGCTTGGAAAGTCTGAGAAAATCTAATCTGGAAAGTACTGGGGGTGAGGAAGGAAAAGGGAAAGAAGGTAATTAAGGAGTTGACTATAATGTTTTTCCATTCTCAGACAACAAGCATACTTTTCAGGCTCTTAGTTCAGACAGATGAAGCAAGATTGGAAAAAAGTGAATTACTTGGAAACAGGCTCAATATTGTTTCTGACTGCACAAGCTCAGAGATCAAAAGGTTGGTGAGCTGCATGTGCGTAAACCTCTTAGAAACTGAAAAGGTGTGACAAACAGATGGCAAGAGGTACTGGGAGCCAACTTGAAACATGAAAATACAAGAAAATAGTGAATTGGGTTGTGCTTCATGACCTTTCTTAAGTTATATGAAGAACAGATACAAACTGTGGTATCTACTTGGATTGTTTACAAGTTCGTACATTTAAATTCAATATTCAGTTCAGGTTATTCAATTAAAGGCAATTCCATATCAGTGAGGTCACTTAAATGTCACTCCAAAGTGATGGAGTTGCTTCTAAATTGCCTTTGCTGTTCATTTCTCTTGGTTAGTGAATATAAACCCAGGAATGTTTGCAGTAGGAAACTGCCCCAATTTGCATTTGTGCAGAGTATTTTTGTTCAGAGAAGTTTCATGGATGCTGTCATGTTGTGTCATGTAAAATTGCATCAGTCCTCTAATATATCCAAGACTTCAAATGGTTGTTTTCTCAGATTGAATAATTAGTCTTACTTTCTAGATACCTTCTAATCTGTGACATCTCAGTTTAGGCAACAGCATGTCTCAGGTTAGAGTCTTTCCTTGTTTAAAGCTGCTAGGGTTTGTTACTCTCAGCTGAATTAGTTTTCTCTACACTTTGTTCAGCTCAGATGAATTTTGCCTGTCCAAGAACATGGGAATTTCATCTTTTGCAATTACTACTGCTAAAATTCAACTGGAGATTGACGGCTGTGTTCCAGATTGGCAGAAAACTTCCAGTGGAAACTAAACGTGTGCAAGTGCAAAGGAAGGACTTATTTCTGTACACACTAAATTAGCTGGAGAAGAAAATTTTTAGTGTATTCACTTACAAAAGCTTTCAATTTCAAACTCAGGTGTGATTCTAGAAAAGTTCAAGTAAATACGTCCTCTCATCGTTGTAGTTCTAATGTTGGACGAATTGGTGCTTTGCAGGATTCCCATGGTATGGTAGTGACACTCGTGAAAATGAAAACACTTTTTTATACAGATTGACTTGTAACATCAGGAAGAGATTTACACAAAGAATGTGGCTAGAAAATGTCCAGAACTGAACAGTTTGCTAATCTCTTTAGGTAATTCATCAGCAAATCTCTTTCCTTTGCAACTGACTTTTGTGCTTTATTTGTAGAACAGGATAAGACAGAAATTCACCATGTCCATGGGACTATTGGTGGGATCTGAACCTTGCCTTTAGTGCTGCATTAGCTGCATGGAAGGCTCAGAGTTGCCTCCAAAGAGAAGCCAATGATTCTTCAAGCAGCAAAAATGCTTCAGGATAGAATGCAGAAGTGTGGCTGCCTGAATAGTGTGGAGGCAGTCCTCCAAAGCTTAAGGACCCCTTAGGGATCATTACAAGCTCTTTGACTAAAAGTTGTCTGAACCTGTAACAAATTATATGTTAGTTACTTGCCACAGAGGTGATGGGTGATATTGCAAGACCTGAGAGTGTCTTGGGGTACATTTTCTGTAGCTGGTAACAGCACAATGTAGTCCAGTCTGAGCCTCTGTATCTTTTTTCTACCATCCATGAGGTGACCTGCTTATCTTCCAAAATTATAAAATTTAAATGAGAGAAAAAGCAGCAGGATCTTCCAAAATTGTAATGTTTAAATGGGAGGAAAAGCAGCAGGCCAGAGAGCTAATTCCTATTGGAAACCAAACCCAAAGAGACCTTAAGGACTTTCAAAAGTTTACAAAAAAGGAGCCATACTGCATTGCAACAGGCAGATGTTTTCCATATGTTGTTCAAGTGAAACTTAAATATATTGAGGCAGGCATGTACAGCAATGTGAAGCTATATATTCTGGCATGAGCCTGGGCTTCAATTTGAGTTATGCACAGACATCTTAAGAAAATGTGTGACAGAGGGTTTTGCGTATCTCTGTCTGTCTGCAGTTGACTCTCTCTGGCTCCTTTCTATTCCTGGAAATGGCACCCTTAACTATTTATGTTCAAATTTACTGTCATGCGTATTTAGTTCTCTGAATAGCTGACTATTCTTTCCACATGCTGCTTATTTAATTTGAAAGCCCAAATCTCAACAAAGGAGAAATATGGCTTTTATGTGTTTTCTACATATTTTTTTTTTTTTGTTAATTTAAATCGCACTTAGTTTAGTCTAGAACTCAACAGAATATCATCCAAATCTGAAAGCTCCTTAAGCAGCCTCCTCAGGATATCACACTGGGGAATAGAAATTCTAATTTATAGGATTTTATTTTCTTTTCTCTTTTATTTTTTCTTTAACACATGTTGTTATACATGCAATGATTCATTCATTTTTGGTTATCTATCAAGCTTCTTGGCCCAGTGTATGTTTTTCTACTGTGTGTTCTGTGTCCCTGGTTTTGTACTGATGGTTCTTTTAAAACTGGTATCTGCAGGTGTGTGCTGGTTTTTCAGGGAGCTCTTCAGGTGCAGGGTATTGACTTGACAGCAAGCCACTGGCCTCTCATTTGCTCTGTTCTCAGGGAACTCAATGCTGCTGCGTGTCCTGCCTGCTCTGTATGAGAAGCAACCACAGCCAATAAACCTTCATCTGAGGGAGCTGATGGCACTGATGGCTCAGCTGGATCAAGCTGAACAACATCATCTCCTCAGGCTCCTCCAGACCGTGGCTAGGAAAAAGGAACTTGGGGTAAAGCTGTGTTTGGAATATCTTATTGCTAACTACTGCACCTCCTTTTGGAGGGGTTTGCTTCAGATGCCTGGGCAAGGTTTTTCTGCTAGCTGCTCTCCAAAAAGTGAGGAGTCCTATAACATGCATGATAGTGCTTCCCTACGTTAATTCTCCATAAATTCTCTAATTCCATTCCACATTCTCCATCTAATCATAAAGAACATACCAATGACTCCACTGGACCAAAAACATTTGTGTTAAACCAGAACTATTTTCATATTTTTTGGCTCTTTTTCTTTCAGCTGAGCATGAATTCCCATAGCTGTGTTTTTGTTAGACTATATGAACTGTACTAAATTACATATCAAGGAAAATTAAAATGAGTTAAGAACTGATAAGAAGTAAGCTGGAGAAAAATTATCTAAGGCAAAATATATAGTGCTTTCAAAACTGCATGTCACTGACAGCACCCAGCACATTAGAACAAGGCACAAAATTACCTGCTTTGTGAATTTATGAAATTCATAACATCCTTGGGAAAGAAGAATCAACGGTAGTTAGTATCTAGATAGCCAAGGAAGCTTTATTGTAATACACAGTCCCAGAGGAAACATAGCTCCTTTCAGAAGTGAGGGACTTGTCAGCTGGAGGGGTCTGGGGTGTAACTCTGGCAATTGCAGGGCTCCATACTGAAGCTGACGCATCTGAAGTAGTTTTGTAGTCTAACTATTATTATCATTTATTACTACTAACAATTTATTCAGCCACCCACCTGAGGTATTTTGCCTGAGTGATAGGTATCAACTTGCTAAAACTGATCATCCTCAAAAAAATGATGGAAGAATGGATCAGTTTATGCCCCATTTCTGTGTTGCAACATCTTTTACACAGATGCAATAGTTTCACTGAATCACAGAAGCATTAGTGTACGTATGTGTTTAACTGAAAAATAATTATTCAATAGATAGTTGTACATACTGCATCCTGTTTGTGAGACAATTTTAAAGACTTGAAAATTGTGTTGTTACAAGGAAGGACAACTGGCCTACAGCATTTTTTGTATACAATGAGGACCTTTCCTCAAATTTTTACCCCTGTTCCAGCTATTAACCTTGTCACGTTTAGTTTCCAGTGGAGACCAAAAATTTCAGCTAGTGCTTTAATTTTCTGTATCACTGGGGAAGGCCAAGTCTCACATTGTTTTAATCAATGAAGTATAGGTTTGGCCCACAGCAAGGGAAATATTTGGGGAGGTTAGTTTTTGTTTTGTTTGGGCTTTTTTTCATGTTTTTTTTAGTCTTTATTAACAATAGGGTATTTCCTTACTTATATATGCATAACTGCAATATTTCAAGGCTACAGTTACCCTTATTCCATATGTTGAGCTGAACTTCGATTGACCTCAGCAATAGCTCTGTGCAAAGGTCAGCAAGGGTGGAAAACTGTTTTACTAAATCAAAGTCTAGTGTTTATTTTTACCACTGATGTACAGTACTTCTTTTGGTTATATGTGTTCACAGCTACAAAATATGTTCACAACTTGTTTCTCTCTGATTCTTTTAATAGGTGCTGAAAGAGTGTATACCATTTCTATTTGGGCACTTGAGAGACCTTAACCATAGTGACATTATTCTAAACATACTTACAGAAATATCCAACTATGAGCCAACAGCCTTATCCGCTTTTCTTCCAATGCTGAAAGAAATTGGTGAGAGTTTTCCATGTCTGATTGGGCAAACAGCAAAGATCTTTGGAGCTGTTGGACATATTGATGAGGTAAGGTCAAAACCAAAAGAAGTTGAGTAGTTTTGGATTGGATTGTTTGGGGTGGTTTGTGTGTGGCTTTTTGTTTGGCTGTTTTTTTCTTCTCTATCATATATTCTCCTATACATTGAAGTATTCCTTTCTTCACGAGTAACCTACCAGAACATATTATTGATCATAAGACCATGAAAGGTTTAGACTGCAGTACTATCAGTATGGCTAGGAGAGCAGGTAGCACAAAAATCCAGTGTGGTATTTATTATAACTAAGACTGTCCTTCTGCCTTCTAACCAAGGAACAATCAGGTAGGGCTGATATAGGGTTAAAGGGGCTCTGCAGAAACGGGCTTTAGATTAATGGGAAAGAAAGAAACTTTGTAAAGAATGTAACGAGCATGAAAAAAAGACTACTTAAACTCTCATAACTGTAAAGATAAGTATCTAAATTATTATTATTATTATTTACTGTGTATTTCTGCATGTGTATGTTCTGTTTATATGAACTTTATTTTTATGGAATGGTTAAACCTCCCATTTGATAAAAGCACATGATTGTCATTATTCCAGGGGCTTAGCTAAGCTAGGTTGCAGTGTTACCTACATTTGAAATTAAAGACAGAGAAAAGAAAAAAAAAGTATTTTGCACACCCTTTCTATGATACCTCATTTTGGATGCATCGAACCTTCAGAAATGTTGTAATTGTGCAGTGAAATATGAACTTCCTTGTATAGTGTAATCCAGATATTTTGGCTTTGTAGCCACAGTTAATTGGATACTTCTGACAAAAGTCTTTATAATGAAAACAGTCAGTGGTAATGCAGGGCTTAAGCTTTGTCACAGGAAAATCTTGGTTTGAGATGTAACCCAATGCAAACGTGATACCTAAAATGGATTTATAGTGACTAACTCCTAAAGAATTATGGGAATTTCATGGCAGTGTAATGAATTTGCACTAAAGTTAGTAGCTTTGCACTTTAGTCATAGCTGTGTGGTCTGGATGCAGGAGCTATGTTCACCCAATCCTGGTGCCATGAACAGACCCAAACACACTGTGCATGCAGAAACCACCAGGCAGCTCTCAGGTCCCAGAGCTCTCTGTCCTCCCCATAATACCAGCCCTGACGAGCAGCCCAAAGAGCCCTGTGTACCCAGCAGCAAGGGATGCTACTCATTGTCATGGTTTAAGCCCAGGCAGTAACTCAGAACCACACAGCCACTCACTCACTCCCCGCCTTCTTCTCCCCCTGATCCTGAAGGGATGAGGAGAAGAATCAAAAAATGTAATTCCCACAGGTTGAGATAAGAACAGCTCAGTAACTAAGGTATAACACAAATCACTACTGCTACCACCAATAATAATAATGAAAAGGGAAATAACAAGGGAAGAGAATATAAAACTAAAAGGGGAAAAGGGAAACAATAAACACAAGTGATGCACAATACAATTGCTCACCATCTGCTGACCAATATGCAGCCTGACCTGAGCAGTGATCTCGGCCTTCCAGATAACTCCCCCCAGTTTATATACTGGGCATGACGTGCTGTGGTATTGAATACCCCTTTGGCTAGTTTGGATCAGGTGTCCTGTCTCTGCTCCCTCCTGGCTTCTTGTGCCCCTCCTCACTGGCAGAGTGTGAGACTGAAAAGACCTTGGTTGGGGCAAGCATTACTTAGCAACAACTAAAACATTGGTGTGTTACCAGCGTTTTTCTCAGACTAAGGGGAAAGCCACAGCACTGCACAAGCTATGAAGAAGGAGAAAAATGACTGTTACAGCTGAACCCAGGACACTCATAAAGATCTGATATTAGTCGTGTCCTGCTGGGACTGGGAAATGCCTTAGACCCCAACAAGACCTGTCTTACCCTCCTGCTTTCCCGAGCTCTTAAAAATACAGCCTGGAGGAGATTACCACCATGAGCTTGTAAACTGCCTGATTGCTCAAGACCTTGGGTATCCTGAGAACACTAAACTCCTTAAACTTATTTATGGCACATCATGGTCTTTAATGAGATTTTATTTTCATTCCCAGGTATGAGCTTATGTGCCTTTCACCACTGTTACTAGACATTTTCCTTCCACCTCAAATCATGGTTCTCTAAAGGCAAAAAAAATATTCTGCTAAACTTAAAGAGTTTCTGTTAAGTAATTCAAATGTTTATGGGTATGGCAAAACTCAATTATATAGCAGAAAATGAATGGTATGCAATGAATCTAACCAATTGCTGAAGTGTGGCACTGGTGCCTGCCATACAGTAACCTGGATAATTTATTTCAGCAAAGAGCTGAATCCCACAGTTTCCGTGTCCTTTCAGTGATCCTTGAGGCAAAATTTGCACTAAGTCAACTGGAGTTTGTCAGCAAAAAGGCTGTTGGTTTTGCATTTCTGAATCAGACTTTTTGGTTGTCCTCCCTTTGACTCCGCTGGAGGCCAGTTTGGAGGGAGGAGGGGGGAAAAGTAGCATCATTTTGCTCTGCAGGGGAAAATCCTTCATATATTCATCTTCTGCCTTTAGGTTGACAGTTCATCTATTTACTTGTTTAGATATAGATAATAATGTGCTCTCATCAATGACAGTGGTCATTGGAGAATCTCCAGAGAGGCTTTTGCCTCCAGAAAGTAGTTTCTCTTGGCCCCTAACCAAAGTTAGTCTTTTAAATCTCGGAGTGGATATTATTGGAGGGGGCAAGCTCTGTGCCCCTGTACAGCAGCTTGCCAGCAGCTGTCATGCATTCAGGAAACAGCTTTGCTCAACGATGAAGGATCAGCTATGCAATTTGAAGCATATTTTCAACACACTGGAGGGAAGGGACCTTGACACGTTTAAGAGATGGGCCAACACAAACCTCATGTAGTCCAACAAAGCAAAGCGCAAGATTCTGCACCTGGGTTGGGGCAATCCCAGGCACAGCTACAAGTTGGGCAAAGAAGAGCTTTGTGGAGAAGGACTTGGGGGTGCTAGTCGATGAGAAAACGAACATGAGCCAGCTTCAGTGTGCGCTTGCAGCCCAGAAAGCCAACCGTATCTTGGGCTGCATCAAAAGGAGCGTGACCAGCAGGTCGAAGGAGGTGATCCTGCCCCCCCCCACTCTGCTCTCGTGAGACCTCACCTGGAGTATTGTGTGCAGTTCTGGTGTCCTCAGCATAAAAGGGACATGGAACTGTTGGAACAAGTCCAGAGGAGGGCCATGAGGATGATCAGGGGACTGGAGCTCCTCCCGTATGAAGATAGGCTGAGAAAGTTGTGGCTGTTCACCTGGAGAAGAGAAGGCTGCATGGAGACCTCATAGCAGCCTTCCAGTATCTGAAGGGGGCCTATAGGGATGCTGGGGAGGGACTGTTCATTAGGGACTGTAGTGATAGGACAAGGGGTAATGGGTTTAAACTTAAACAGGAGAGGTTTAAGTTAGATCTAAGGAAGAAATTCCTTACTGTGAGAGTGGTGAAGCATTGACACAGTTGACTAAGGAAGTTGTGAATCCTCTACCCCTTGCAGTGTTCAAGCCTGGATTGGACAGGGCTTCGACCTGCCTTTGTCCTTCTAGTGGAAGGTGTCCCTGGTCATGGCAGGGGAGCCTGATGGGAGGCAGGAAGCAGCTGTGTGGGGCAAGAGCAGAGGGTTGGAGCCGCTCCTCTGCTCTCCTGTTCACTGGCACAGATGGATGTCATGCAAGTCTTATTTCACTTATTGCAATAAGGGAAATCTCTTTCTCTGTTAGCACTTAGTTTTGAGCATGTATTGGTTGGGCAATGGGTGTCTGATCGTTGTGGATGCAGCACGGGAAGGCACTGTACTTGCTGTTTCTACTGATCTTGAGCTTTATACTAATTTAAAACAAAATTTATCTTGTAAGAATCAAAACCAATTTGGTTTGGCTTTGTAAATCTTATTTCTGTTGCAAGGGGATGGGGAGGAGAAGCCAAAATCCCATTGGAGTCTGTGAGCCAAATGATGTTTGCTGTTCTCTCCTTGTTTAATTCCATCACCCAAGCAAAATATACTTTTACAAGGACTGCAGGTGACCATATTTAATTCTGCATTTACCACTTAAGAGTCAATGTCTAGAAGCTTTACAGCTTATAACTAGCTAATCCTCAAATGAGCACAGCTGGGATCAGAACTTAAGGATTTAATTCGGATTCTGTATTTTAGTGTGTCGAACCAGCTCTTCCCAGGCTCTTCTCAGGAGCCTCTGAGGTTCCTTTTCTGCTGTGTTTTGCTACTTCAAAGGGACTGGATTTATTTTGCTTTTGTTGTTACTGTTTTATATCAATACCAAGACTAAGCAAAGACCCAACTGGACATGCATTCCATATCTTGTGGAAATTATGGACTACAGTAATGTTTACAAAGAAATTATTTGCAGAACATTTTCTCCTTATATTCTTTAACTGTTGTTTTGTGCAGATACACACACAGCTATTGCCACACGCACAGCCTGGGCAAGCCTGCATTGCATAATTAAGTTTCGATCTCTCATGTAAGTGTCGAGTAACTGGCATTGTCCTGTGTCGTATCTTATTTTTCTAAGAAGCTGCAAGCTGCTGACTTAGCATCTGACTGCATTCCAGCCTGCTCTGCTGCCACAAGCACTGCGTGTGTGTGGAGATGGCATGCTTTTCATTTGTTTATGGTAGGTTCAGTTTTAGTGACATCCAGGAGACCTTTCACTCAATACCAAAAGCAACACGTAAAGGTTGGCAGAGCCGAACTTTCCATGAATATCTCCTTTCCATTTTGCTGTATAATTCTGAATTATGAAAGATCTGCCCTGATTGAAATGTCTAATGATTACCAGTGCTCCAGTGGCTGGATTTTGTTTCTGCAATCACGTTTGAACTCTATCAGCCCATGAGACTATTGACATCTGTGTCAGGCTGGCACAGCTCTGTCACTGGACACAGATTACATACCCTGTGGAACATCACCACTGAACCTTCTCTGGAGGTTCTCCCCTGTTTCTTGTCCTGTCTCCTTTGTTCTGGGCAGAGGAGCCAGAACAGCCAGAACAGCAGAAAGAGGCTGTGCCTCAAGCTGGGGAGTACATTTTGGTGAGAAAACAAAGACAAGCTTTCCAGGTGAGGAGAGGCCCAAGCACAGTATAGAGGAGCTTTGGGGTAGCCTGATGAGGAGGAGGTCTCAGGCACTGCCTGCAGTCTGTTGGTGCCCCAGCACTGCCTGCGAGGAGTCGGGCAGCCACCTCTGCCAGCACAACTGCTCTTTGCTGGAAGACCTGGTGTCTCCTGCCTTTCCTTGGCAGGAGAACAGTGTGTCTGTGTTGCTGGTGTTCTCCCAGGGTTTGGATGTGCTTCCTGCACTGCCACGCTGCCAGTTCAGTAATTGCCTCTGGTATAAATGGTACAGAAAGAACCTTAAAATATGCTTGGGTGATGGCTGGGTGTTGCATGCTGGAGCCAAGGCGAGTCACTGTTTTGGGTGCAAAAGTTATGATAGAATTGCTGGGGGGGGGAGGGGGGGTGTGTTAAAGTTTCCCATTTTCTCCTTATGGAATGCTTGTGTTTCATGGGGCTTTTGCCTCTCTGTGCTGTGGGATCTGCTTTGCTGCCCCACATCACCTGGATGTTTTCACATAGCAAGTTCTCCCTTCACAGACATTATAACTGATGATCTTTCCCTCACCTTCTATTTGTGAGTTTTGTCTCTTTGCCCCAAGAATTTTTATTTCATTTTATTTTATTTAGTCCAGGACAACTTGAGTGCTTTGTGGCCTGAATTTTTGTGGTGGAGGGGATATGAGGAGCTATTAGTGGGATGTTCATTGGTCCACAGTTGCCTGAGGTTGCATCAGACCATATGTGGTGACTGAAGGGTCCTTGTGGATCTTGTGTATTTAGTAACACAGTGGATCTCCCATAGTCCTCCTTTTCACTTGTAAAGGTTTTGTTTGCTTTACTCTGGTGGTTCCTTGTGCAGAATTTGCCCCCACCCTCTTGTGAGCCAAGAGAAGACAGGTCGTGTCTGGATGCTCCCATGCAGATCAGCCTTCTTGAAAGGAGAAAAAATACCATTGGATTTCTCTGATGCAGGGGGCATCACTCACTGCAATGCAGACAATCAGCCTATGGTAAAATAACCAGGAAAACATCTGGCATCATAAAAGCTGGACAGATCTTAAAGGCTCAGTATATAACAATGACTGCACCCACAAGAAAGAATTAAAATAGTGCTCTGATCCGCAAGCGTAACTGCAAAGTTATAAGTGTTAGTGCACCCAGTATTTAGATCAGGTCCAAGTAGAATCATGCAAGCAGCAAAATGGTCCCTGTAGACCACTGCTGATGGTGGTGTCTCACAGCCCACCATGGCAATGCCTTCCTGAAAACCTCCCTTGTCACTTCTCCCCCTCTTCGTTTTCCTGCACTGGAGCCATGTTATAGATATGCTGTTAGATCCTCCTTAGACACGAACCAGCATCCCCTTCCCGGTCAAGCAAAACAAGTGGGAAAAGGATCGACAATGGTAGTGTTGCGATTTTGTTTACTGGTATTTTGACCCTTTATGGTACAGAATGCAAATATGAGCAGAAAACCCTTTCTGCTTGCTTCTAGAAACAACCTCTTACGCTTTCCCTGAACTGCTCTTTCCACCTTGGCAGTTCAGACAGACCCCTGGAGAGATGAGAGGTTTGGCTGAAAAGAGATCCTTTTATTTAAAGGTTGCCCTCCTGTTTACACACGCCACTTCTGTTGATGTTAGTGACAGTCTCATGGGTGAAGTTGAAATCAGACCTTGTCCCTTAACCATAAATTTGTGCAAAGCAAAACACCATCTTGGGGCATAGGTCAATGGAACATTTTAATAGTTGGGTTTGGGTTTTTTTTTTTTGCCATCACTTATGTTTGAACCAACTGGAAATTGGAATTACCCCTGAAAGCCTTGTGATCTCTTTTGTAGTCTTCTGAGCCTGATTTTAAGATAAAGCAAAATACTTTGCCACACCTCATTGCCTGTGGTTTAGATCTTCACCTGCTCACAGATACAATGTCATAACATGCAAGGGATGCTTATAAAAAATACATGAATGCATAAAATAAGCATTGTTAAAATAACAATGGGTTATGCACATCCAAAGAGGCTGCCTGAAAATTTTTGGATAAAAACTGGCAGAGATAATGACTGCTTTCATGTTGAATTATTTTGCTGCAATTTTGTTTTTTTGTAACAGTTACACATTATATTACTCAGTAGTTTATTGTTCTTTTACTTCACTCCAGGCGAAGCATTTTAGCGTGGCTGGAGTCCAGCTGGATCAAAGTGACATGAAAATGGTCAAAACTTCTCTTCCAGTTAGTCTGCTGCACAGTTTGTTTAGGAAACAAAAATGTGTTTTAAATGTTAATTGAGCCTGTGTTTATCTCTTGGAGGGAGGATCATCTTCCAAATAAACTAGTGAATATGTACCAAAAAGTCAACCTCTTAAGCCATTGAGAAAAAAAGGCTCATTCCATCACACCACCCCAGCCCATGTGAGGATGTGGCTGCAGTTTTTCCTCATATGGCTGAAGGGAAGCAATTTGTCTGATACACTTTTCTCATTTATCTCTGTCACGCCACGGTGTAGCAGATCCTTTTTTGTTTGAAATAAGGTGACTTTTTCTTCAAAAATGTCTGTCTTGTGATGCTCAGGCCATGTTCTGCCAAAATCCCCCATGTATTTTATAGCCCAGCTGTATTTAGAATCAAACTTTGAGCAATTTTTTCTCTCCCATTATGAGGTCCCAGAAGAGAAGAGGTAATAATGCTATTGCCCCGCAGTGTTTGAAGTACATGTATGGCACACAACTTCCTCTCCTTTTCTGCTAATATTCTGGGAAGAAGATAATTTTTTATTTTTGCTTTTGCTTGCATTTCAGCACAAGCTCTCAAAGCAAAATATTTCCCCATTTCTGTACCAAGTGGATTTTGCTGAGCAGAGACATACCAAGTTACCCCAGTGGAAGATCTGATATGAGCTCCTAAGTTAATTGCTGCTTTCCCTGCTGCTTTTCCCACTTAGACATTTTTAGGACTTTGGGACCTGATACACTTATAACAGAAGAATCCTAACGCATTTCTTCACCTTTGGGATTTCTGGTTTAGTTTGTGAATTTGTACACGTACATACAGAAATAGTTGGAACTGGAATTGTGTGCCTTTGCCAAGCAGAGATGATAAAGTGTCTATGCTAGAAAATCCTTGCATATTTAATATTATTATCTGAAATAGCCCCTTTAATCCTAATTTGTGGGGGATGCAGTCTCGCTGATAAATTGGCAAGATCACATCCTCCTGAAAAACTGACTAACAAAACTTCAGCTACAGAGGGCATATCAGACTTCAGTGCATTGGCAGTGATAGATACAACTTGCCAGACAGCACCTTATCGCATGTGATAAGATCTTAAAACAAAATCTCATTTTAAATGTCTCTTTGTTGCAGTGTTAGTCACAGGTCTAATCTGAGTGTTTCTCTTAAATGAATTGCTAAGAAAGGAGAGAAACCATGTGATTTATGAGGTATTTTTACTTCTCGCCATTAGTGCAAAGAGATTCTGATAGTCCCCAGGCTCCTGTCCACTGCATCTCACTCCTCTGCTGATGCTGTGCCGGAGGTGTCCTGCTCTGTCTGTGCAGCACTGGTGACAACAGGCTTTTAGATGACATTGCTAAACATAGCAAATCAGCAACATCCAAGAGCTCCAGAAAGGAAGCCATGATTGGGAAATGTTTTATGGTCTGGGAAATAAATATTCATTCCTTGCAAGATTATTTGTAACAACTAGTGGCATATGCAGAATTCACTGCAATTGTCTGATGCCCCTTGATTATTTGCAGTTATGGAGTGGAGAGTAACATAGGAAAAGCAAAAATCTGGACATTAGCCCATTAATACAGTGGGGCTGTAATGAAGATACAAAACTGCAGCTGGCTGTGGGTCATGCAATGCCACAAACTAGCACAGACCTCAGCTGCGGGGTCCATTGAGCCTGCATGTTTTAACATGTTTGTGTCTCTGCTAATACTTGTGTAAGCTCAATGTGCAACAGGTTGGGTACAGACACGAGCAAAAAGACCCTCAGGAAGATGATCCTGTGAACTTGAGCAGTGGGCATGAGTGCGTGGCCCCTTACAAGAGAGTTTGCCTGCCACAAACAGCAAGGAATAAAGCAGAAAAAGGGCACAGAAACTGGGTATAGGAAGGTAAAGTAGCTTGGCCAGACTCATAAGGCTTATCAAAGGAAAAAGGGAAGCTAGGTCCACTGCTGGTGCTGTGATCACTGGCCCAGGCTGATCAACCATGCTAGAGCAACACAGGCTCCTTCAAAAACGCTTTATGGACTCTGACTCTAAGTCTGAAGGGGAGACAAGGTGTACTAAAGTTAGGCTGGGTTAAGTAATACCAAGAGGAATAAACGTAATGTCAACGGTACACAAAAATAAACTGTGTTTGATGCAGTTGCCTTTTTGTTATTTGTCATGGGGTAGCCACTATTCCCCAGTGACATTTTAATCAACAGCGTGCATGCAAATGTCCCGTGCACAAACAAACAATGAATTAATTTGTTTAAAATTGTTCTTCTCTTCTTACATTTTCTAGGAGCGAGCCAGAATATGCTTGATGTATTTGGTGAACCAGCTGGCCAACATGGAGCACTCATTTCACCATATTCTTTTGCTGGAAATTAAGAGTCTTACTGACACTTTCTCAAGCATCTTGGGCACCCAGAGCAGAGATATCTACCGCATGAGCAACAGTTTCACAGCCATAGCCAAGCTCCTCGTCCGACAGCTAGAGAATGATAACACATCTGGAGCCAGGTAAAGCTTGTTTTTGTATGATAAAGCTACAGCCATCTCCATGACTGTGTGAGACAACGTACATTTATATTAAATATACTCAAGTTGCAGTGAATGATCAGCTGAAAGTAACAAGTACTGCAGTTCCTGTAAGTCACTACATTGCCATTTTCATATTGATCTTGATATCCATCTTGTACCATTCCAGTATATACTCACTTAGCCTTTGGATTGTGTTATTTATAGGGTCAGGTAAGCATGCAAAGTAGTTTACCAACACCTTATGGGCAACATCCCTAACCTGAGGCGTGAATTTCAAATGCAGGCATAAGGATAATTGATACTGAAGTAGAATTCTGTAATTAAAGGGTGGCAGTAAGAGCTGTGGGTGCATGGCAGACACCAGTTTTGCGCTGCCAGGCAGAATGGCCGCCAATCATACACCAGAAATTGCGTCATTTGGCACTGAAGAATAAAGAAGCTGTTCAAGTTTTAGTGCTTAAAGCATAGGAAGAAAGCTATGTCTCAGATAAGTAGACTAAGGCAATCTAGAATTCTTCAGTTAAAAATAAATCGGTGAAGTCAGGCTACACAGTTATCATTGGGTTTATTCTAGAAGATAGCCGCTGACGCTGATGAGAACAATGACTGGCATAGCTGCCTTGTAAAGGTTTGCTAAAAAAGGTCTGAAAAAAATTCTCAAACTTGCATGAAAAGTTGTTTTGTTCACTCAGCTTCTTTTAAACGTGCCTCAGCCTCTTTTAAATGTGCATCCTAAAGTTAAAGCATTTGGAGTGTCGCTGCGTTTGTCAGTAAAAGCACAAGTGTTATTTAAATATATGGTAGCAGTCGCTTTTAATTAGGGAAGGACTTATAATTAACATTGTGTATACTGAAGTAGGTCAAGAGGGCACAAAGGAATAGTAATTCTTTGAAAAAATTTAACACAGATGTCAGAAAACTCATAACCATGAGGGATAGCCTTGGAGACAGACTTGTAGAGCTGGAGCCAAAACATTGAGGTCATTCAAGAAACAATTAATTGGTATCCTGGAGAGAGTTAAAAATGAAAAAAGGAGAGGAGCCCTGATATAGCTCCTCATTTTACAAGCCTGTAAGAAAACTTCACCTGGTGGCTGTAATCTCAGCTGAAATCAAGCCCTCAGCACTCGTTTATATAAAGCTTCATTGGAGATAGTGAAAAAAATGAAGTGGAGATAGTAAAATGAGCATGCAATGACATACTTTTCCAGACTAGTCAAGTTCAACTGGGACAGATGTCACTTAGTAAATGGGACCAGAAGGATGTCATGTCTTCTGGGAACCACAGTGAAGCAGGACAGGAATTGAGGCTTCAGTAATAAAGTATAATAATTATTCACAGAGCCCATTGTGGTCCCTTGATTTACAATAGAAAAATTATTTGTTAAAATGTTATGATATTTCTATTCCTTATTATCTCATGTGCTTACCATTTATCTCTAGAGCTGATAAAAAACAGTAAAAAGCAAGAAAAGGTTTAATTAAAATGTTGTTGTGTTTGCCTGTTCCTCTCTAAAATTCCCCTTTGTTAAGGACTGACTTTACTGAGGAGTAGAAGCTTCTTTATCTGTGTGAGTGTGGTTACAGATGCAAAATACTGTTTGATTGGAGTCTTGGTGGGGAGAAGGGAGATAATTATATTTTTCAGTGGACTTTTCAGAAGAAATCCTTATTTTCCCTCAGGAGAAAAATTCTACTGCTTCTACTGAGCATGAAAGGAAAATGCTTTGGTTGTTTGCTTGTTTAAGTTATATTTGCTTCCACATGGCAAGTTTGAACACAGCCATGTATATAAGTGAGTGAAAATGTACTGCCTTCTTTGGAGTCTAAGAATTGCCATGGAGTCCAGGGACCAAACTCTGGAGGGTACAAAGTAGGGGCAGAACATAAAAATGCATCCACCTTATCCCAGGGCTGCAGTGGGGCTGCTCAGAGGCTATTCTGGTTTAAGGAAGGACATTCCTCTTTCCTTTTTGTTTTGGTTTTATTGGGTTTTAACATTTCTGTGGATAAATTGCTGCTATTATGAAATCAGACAGTCCCTGTGATGCAGCTGTGCTTGCCATGAGGAGGCTGTGAGTGTAACCAGAAGTGTTGGGAAGGAAAACCTGTTCCTGATGCTCTTCTGGGTAAGGACCAGTGTCTCAGGACATCTGCTGCAGCAGGGTCTGCCTTGCATGCAGCTGTCTCGAGCCAGTGGCAGGGCCTGGACCCTTTCAAACAAACCTTTCTGAAATGATTTCTTATTCTCCATCTGCTGCTTGATATTTTAATAATTTTTTTTAATTGTAATTTTATCCCCCATCAATCATCTGTGACCCTGGTTGCTTGCAGCTGCCATCATCCTGTTATCTCAGTGTGGCTCTGAGAGGTCACGGTGAAACACTGACTTTTCACAATTATGTTTTTTAGGTATTTGGTTTTATATTTCAGGCCTGTATCAAGCAAAGTATCTGCTAAATCAGACAAGAACAAGTATGACAGCAAATAAGGCTAAGAGTTCTTCACTTAATCAGAGTTTATTCTGACTTCTACTAGCAAAAGTGGGATCGGTCCAGACACTGACATGGAAATACCCTCCTAGCTCCAGAGCTGCTTCAGTTACTGAACTGCAGTGATTTTTAAATAGCAGCAATCGAGAATATTTGTGCTGTGAAAGGAAAACAGGATTTTAAAATGTGTGGCTGGATTATAACCATTCCTTCCAGAATCATGTGTTTACATAAGAAGAAACTGATTTCTTTAGAGTGATGGCTGGCTTGGAGTTGTTTGACGCAGGGAATTTTACATGCAGTTAGTGGAGAATATAATTAAAACCATGTGATGCTCTGTTGCCCCTTACTGTCACAAAATTGCAAGTTATTCAGTCTCAGATGTACTTTTTAAGAACATGGAGTTTTAATGGACTGATTCAACCCAGAAGTATAGCATGGTCTATTGAAAGAAGGCAAGAAAAGAAAGTAAGATAATTAAATGGCACTTCCAAGTCCTCAATCTGGGTAAGAACAGAGAATAACAGGCTATACCAGTGCTGCTCACTTTAGTGTAGTGATTGGATGAAATTACCTTTTTTCCTTAAGGGAGAGGATAGGTCTAGTACATAGCATCATTTGGTATTCCTTTGCCATTCATTTACCTTTTATTTTCTACAGTGCTCTTTAAATCAACGTGTAGTAGTGAAGAGAGCTATAACAGCATCTAAGACTTTCCTATCCTGGTAAGGTATTAATGGTGTGATTTAATTCAGCACAAGCACCAAGAAGCCTGTCTGCATGCAGCATCCCTTGCCACTTCATGTCCTGCCTGGCTCCCAGGAGCAGCTGCCCTGCATGCAGCACTTGCCACTGCCTGCTGTCTGTGTTTGTCAGCATCAGCTATTGAAATGTTCGGGCTTCTACCATCAGTACCTGTGAGTGCAGAGGCTGTGAGTGGCATTGCCTGTGAAGTGACAGAGGATGCAGCCTTCAGCTCCCTGTGGAACCTCAGCCTTGAATATTATCTGGCTGATAGTGTTTCCACAATAATTCCTAACAATTAATTTGGAAGCTCCTGATGCGTTTCCCACCCATGACCCAGAGGTTCTGAGATTGCCGTTGCTGTCCACCACTTGTCTCCCTCAAACCTGCAGGTCCGTTGTATTTGAGGAGATGATTATGTCTGTTCATTGATGAACCACAAGGATTCACAGTTGATCCATTTGTGTTGCCTCCATCCGCAGAGTTGAAGCCCTGGAGGCAATCCCATCTCATGTATTTTTAGCAATTTCCATTTGTGTATGCTCTTTTCCCCATTTTAAGCACCTGACTGGTGTTGTTATAATGGTGCTGGTCTGGAGAAATGTTTTGCAAATTAATGTATCACTCTTGACTTGCTGACCTGTATACTTAGGTCTCTTTCTAAAGAGAATTTTAAAGCAGTGAAATGGTGAGTAGCACAGTACTGTCTTTTCAAGCCAGGTCCTTATGATTTCTTTATAGGTTTGTGCATCCTTTTCCTTTCAAAAACAGCCTGAGCTTTGGTGTAAGCTGATCCTGCTCCAGCAACCTCAGCAATGTACTGAATGTCTCCTGCCAAGATTTCAAACAATAGTTTATTTTACTGTTGCTGGAAGGGGAGGCCAGCAGGAAGGCCTGCCAGGCATCCCGTTGGGCACAGGGTGGAGGCTTCATTGAATGTTTCACTTGGGTTATGTGCCTTTGGCTTCCTGGGAATTGATAAGATGTAAAGCAGGTACATGTGAGAGACATGCCAGTGCGCTGACTTCCTCATGTAGTGCTTGCAGTTGCCCTGAAATCGCAAGCAACAACCAGGTCAAAACCAAGGTGATGGCTTGAGGAACACCAGGCAGCAATGAGCCTTCTATGCACTAACTTACTGCTGCTTCACATACGGCAAGTAAGATTCATCAATGTGTTTCTTTAGGAGAAGGATTTTGTATTTCCTTCATAAAGCCACCAGAGTTCAACAGGAGAATGATGGACAGAAAAAACGCTGTTGTAAAAGGCCATTTTTATTTCCAAACATCACCAGGGCTTGCTGGTTTGGGTCTGTCATTCAAAAACCGCATCAGTCCATCAGTCCCCTCCCTGTGGCCAGAAGGCTTTATATGTATCTACATATGTAACAAGACATTTTTCTTAGCACATAGTTTCTACAATGGAGCAGCGTTAGGAGTGATCTTGGAGTGACAGCTTTCTCACGAATTAAATCCTTCCCCCATCTCCAGACAGATTTGCTAGTAAAGGTCAAACCATGGTTCTTAATTACAGAAGAATATTTTTTTCAGTGTTCTGCACTGTTAGTATCTTTTGAGATCTTGCCTAAATTAAAAACAAGACAAAACTTGCCAACTCCTCTGAGAAATATCCTGAGCTGCCTTTATCAAAACAAATGAAAGAGTGCATTTTGTGATGCAGGATTTGTGAGTTTGGTTTTGGGGGTTTTTAACATGCTTTTTTGTTTCCACAATTTGCTGTATTTGGGAGTTTTTAATAGGCTTCCCAGCTGTGAGCATGACACATTGAGACTCTGCTGCTTTGAAAGGCTGTGTTAAAACTCTTATTTGTGGCTTTCCATATCCGTATTTTACAGATTTAGCTAGTCAGATGTTTCCTCATCACGGAAAAAAAACAACCGCCACCAAACAAGCAAACAAACAAACAAACACAAAGAAATGGTCAGAAGTAAGATGAGCTCTAAAGAGTTGTGGGTAGAGTTTAAAAAGTAAATGCTGTCAAATACCCCTTAATTCCCTGAGATTTCCAATTGTTTATGATTTTTTGGTCCAGTTCCTCCATAGTTGCAGGAGTAAGATGGAAACGTAGAAATACCCAACAGAAGGCACACCCCTGAAGAGGGAAAGGAGCAACAGTGGTTTTGCCACATGTGCTGTTTGTCCCCCAGGAGACTCAGTCCTGGTGTTGCATAAAGACCAAGAAGCATCTTCAAAGAAGAATACAGATATCCAAGGGTTAGGTCTCTGACAAATGGCTCAATATTTGGAGAAGCTGAGTCTCACTGTGGGGTGTGAGCTGTGTAGGATCCAACCAACAAACTCCATTTTCAGAAGCTCTGTTTTGGGAAATCCGGCAGTCAGACTGAAAACCTTAACCTAGGAAACCTGGATTTGGGCACAGAAAAGGCTGCACTAGGGATAGGGTACAACACTGGTGTGCCTGTCCTTGCCCTGGTAAGGGGTGGTGGGTCTGTCACCCTGGGATCCTTCTGCAGAGGGTTTCTGATGTCCCCTGTGGCTTTGGCAGTAGCGATTACTGCCTCTGCAGCACCATGGCTGGGCCTCCATCAAAGACAGTATTTTTCACTGGTAAAAAGACATTTTAATGGCTAGAAAGCAAATTTTTAACAGCACTATATCTGACAGCAGATTTCTTTTTGTTCCTTAAGATTAACAGCTTCCTTTAAATTTATTTTAAAGTTATCTTCAAGTTATAGAATCGTAGAATAGTTAGGGTTGGAAAGGACCTTGAGGTCATATAGTTCCAACTCCCCTGCCTCACACTAACCATGCCAACCAAGGCTCTGTCCAACCTGGCCTTGAACACCGCCAGAGATGGCGCATTCACAGCTCCCTTGGGCAACCCATTCCAGTGCCTCACCACCCTTACACTAAAGAACTACTTCCTTATATCCAATCTAAACTTCCCCTGTTTGAGTTTTAACCCATTACCCCTTGTTCTATCACTACAGTCCCTAATGAAGCATCCATCCCAGCATCCTTATAGGCTATGAAATTTTGTATTAAAAGATTGTATTCTAAAACCAACATCACAGTCAACTTTAAAATAAAACAGCTTGTCCTGCAGTCCTACCACGTTCATCTTAACTCGTTGTTTTCTTTTTCTCTTTTGCTGAACTTCAGTCACGTTGCTTAGAACTTTTATTGAGTCTGCTTCTGTACTTGTGCTGAGTTTCGAGAGACGTTTTTCTTACTTAGAATACAATAATTCAGTAGGAACTGCGTGTACTTTTGTCAAACCTTTAAAACCACAGACTTTTATAAACTCTGCAATTAGCTTGACTTGAAGTTTATTAAAATAATGTAGGAAGTCGCTGTTTAGCAAGCTAGAGAGAATGGTTTAAATTCAATTGAAAAACTTTTCGCTATGGGACCACAGGGTAAAGAGCGGGGTTTTGCTTATGCAGATGCAGCACATGAAGTTAATTATCTGGTGTTGTCAGAGATGTTGAATGTTTCTGATCCATCTGACAGAGACATTGATTCAGAAGATGCTTTTGAAAAAGATTAATCATCCTCTAGGAGAATCTCTGCTGAAACATAATTATTTTACCAGAAACATAATAAAGGTCACAGGCAGAAATGCAGCACCAGCATCACTATGAACACAGTGTGCCAGAGTTAAATCTCTGCTTTCTACTGCCTTAGGATGGAAAATGATACTGAAACAGAATCTCCAGCACCAGTGGGTGACTTAAAATCTGTTATGAATGGAAGTGAAGAGGATGAAAAGCTTCAAGTTAAAATACAGGCTTTTGAAGAGAAAATAAATGTTGACAATGGTACTCCTGGCTCAGTGCGGAGATACAGTTTAGGCCAGGTTTCTAAAGAAGAAAGGAAGGATATGAGATTTAACAGGTATGGCTCTGTAAAATGTGTGAGTGCTTTTCGTGAATATAAGTTTATAAGTTTTGCAATAAAACTTTATGCAAACGTTGAGTATTTGGCCCACTTGATGCCTTTGGGCATCATAATTCTAATTTTAACTAAGTCTCATACCCATGAATTCAAAGGCTGGTTAAAGCTTTCCTAAATTATTTATTTAATCTCTTGTGCCCTACACCAGTAAAAGGGATGGGAAAATATTTGCATACAGATATTACTAGAAAGGAAAATATGGAGACTTTTCTTGAGTATTATTGCTAACAATAAGTATCAAATGTTTGAATAAAGTTTTGCCTGTGTGCCGTGAGATGAGTGTGACTCTCCTGGGACCCTGGGTTAGATAGCAGCTCAGACAGCAACATGCACCCACAGTGTCTTTAAGTTGCCTGTGCACTGCAGCGTTGCAGCAGAGCTTTTCTCTTCCTGCTCCAGTATTTGCCTTTTCAGCCACTTCACTTTCTACCCTTTTTACTCTTACAGAGGCTTACCTTCATCCTCAGCATATAGGTATTGGGCAATGAAGAACTGGAGACTGCATCTTGGTTCAGTTAAATGGCACTGGATGGCATTTTTATGATGTGCTCAACAATACATATATTCCAGTCCTGGGGTTATAAGTTTCTTGCACATAGGCTGACTAGCTCCCTCCATGGCATGCAGATGTTGTGATATATGGATATTATTTAGTTTCATTCGCTTATTAAAGCTGTGGCTTGCATTTTGCTTTTGAAATGCATATCTACCAAAAGAGACTTGCTTCTGGCTAAGTGAACCCCACACTCAGCTCTCTGAGCTAGCTGCACAGAGGTAACTCAGAAGAGCATGTGTTTGGGTGATTTTTGTGTCTGACCTCTACTCCAAAACGTTTGTCCTTTATCACCTTCCAGGTCTAAAAGCCTCGCTTTGCATGCAGTCCGCATGAAGGGCATAAACTCAGAGTGTGGACAGGATGAGGACAATGGGGAGATAACTGCTGGTATCTCCTTCTCTGAGATCTACATTAGCCAAGAAAACGACAAATTGCCTTTCGATGTTGGTTATGTGGAATCAGCAAATTTGCCAGACTCTACTAAAGAAAAGGCCCTCGAAGGAAGCACAGAGGCAGCAATGAGCCCCAAGGAATACCAGGATGAGCTCTACTTGCACTTGAAGGAAAACCTGGGTAAAGTGAAAGCATATGTCACAGAGATGGGGAGAAAAATTCCTATCCCTGATCAGTGTGTGGTTGAAGGTAAGAGCTCCAAGCCTTCCCAGTTACGAGAACTTTAACACTATGCTGAAAGTCCTCTCAAGGTCCAAGCAAATGGGTAGCAAAGACCCTCTAGCACAGAGCTCATGGATGGAGAAGATGTTTTATAAAACAATGCCATTCCCAAACCGCAATGTTTTTAAGTCTTCCAGGAGTGTTGTTCTTTTCCTTCAGGGATATAGCTTTTGGCTGTCACAGGGAACAAACCCCGAGCTCTCTGGAAAAGGGCAGGAACTGTCACACTTAGCTGAAGAGATGTTGCAGTGGGCTAGGTCTGGCAATGCTTCTAGGCATGTCTGTAGGGCAGAAAAGCAAGGGGAATGTGGCCTGGCTCCAGGCTGTACGTTATGGAGCTGTGTGAACAGTTGTGGAGAGTCAAGTACCACAGACTGTGTGTGCCATGGGTCGCACTCGGCCACACAGGTATATGGATAAGCACATGCTAATATTTAAGCCTCCTTCTTGGCATTCTGGGCTAGTGTAGAGCAGATCTGTGTCTCCTTTCTCATTATCATGATATTTTTAAATCAGGACCCTCAGGTCAGCACATTCCAGTCTAGACACAAAGCTCCTTGGGGGCACAACAGAATGAAATCCCCAGTGCGTCAGGTTGGATCCTATCTCACCACCTCCCTGGGGTTGTTTAATGTTTTCTGCTTTCATCAGGGGTGGCATTTGTTTCCAAGTGCGAGAAAGCTGGGTTTATGAGACTGCGGGGGAGGCAGGTGATGCACTGCTTGATGGGTCTTTGATACTTCTCTTTGAAGTAAATACTTTAGGTTGGTTTGTGAGACTCTTATTTACATGAATTTGTGTGCATCTAAACACTTGCTGGTGGTTGTGAACTATTCACAGCTCAGCCCTTCAATGGACCATGTTGATTCCAAAGAGTAGGTGACTCCATAAATCAAATTGATTTGCAGCCACCTAACACCTCATCTTCTAATACTACAGAACTTCAGGTTCATCAGATATCAACTTCTGTGGATAAAATATTTGTTTACTTTTTCAGTGGTCAAGAAGTTGAAAAGCAGTTTCTACCCATAAAAGGGATATAACCGTATTTTAAAAGCTTATGTTTCTGAAGAGATTTCTAAATATCATAAATTCCAAATTTATTACTTGAAATAGTTATTTGACACAATTAATGATAAAACTTTTGTTTTGTAAAATTACAGTGGAAACATGAGAGTGAACAGGCTGGCTTTTCAAGTGCTGAGTGGTATGACCTTGCATTAATCGAATGCAATAAGTTCAATATTTCTAAATGCATTGCTCAGTTTCCTTTCCAAAGTACTTATTATGACATGTTCTAAGCATGTGACTATTTCTAAATTCATTCAAACTATTGTAATTTCCTGAAAATCCTCAACTAGCATTCTTAGGGAAATTCTTTGAGTAGGGACACATGTGCAGATCAGGAGATTTATGTGACTCATTCTAAATATGTTGAAGAAATCTGGCTCATTACTCAGGGGATAGCTTTGTTAATATTTCAGATATTAAATAAATCACCCCATAAAAACTTTCAGTTATTGGACTCCTGTGATTCCCGCACACTCTAAAGGCCTATTCAAATGTGCAGGGCTTACTTTTCAAATAAGGTATTTAGAAAATAGTAAAATAATTTTAGAAAATATTAATATACATAGTTGGCTAATTTTACATTGCTTATGTAGTTTGTTGAACTGGAAATTTAATATGTAAACCATGGTAAATATTAAAAGATATGCACTTCAGAGCACTCTTCCATGAAACAGAGTAAAGGAAATAGTGGCAAAATGTGCTGCAAGAAAATAGCACTGCAGTGTGTTAATAACAGAGGGTGCAAATTTTCCCACATACCTTTTTGTTGGTCATGCTTTCCTTGGGCTTTCAAGTGGTAGCTCAGACACAGGTCAACAGACCGTTAATGTCAGTTGTAAGAATTTCTATGTAATAAATGGGTCAAATTCTGTTCACTTAAACAGAATTGAAACCCCTGCTTGCATTTCTAATGACAGTGATGTCCAACCTCTGGGCAGACTGTCTGTGAACATGGGGAATGCTTTATTGCTTAAAAGTGAGACTGGATGGCATCCCCAAAAGGATGCTGTGATGACACACTGGTGAGAACAGAAGGTGCTTGCATACCTTTGGGTACATCCGGAATTAGCGTGTACAGCCCATGCCAGGTATGGTGTCACCGATACCAAGAACTGTAGGAATGAAAGCAAGAGGTTGCTGAAGGTTTTCCAAATATGGAGTCACTGCCTTGCAGAAGGACAGAGGACATTCAGTTCAGTTCTTAGTAGCTGGGGGGAAAAAAGCAAGAGAAGAATTATTAAGAAAATTAGACCAAATGACATCATTATGGCATTGTCTGCATCAAGTGGAGCCTGAATCTTGAAGGACAAATGAGACTAGTAAGCAGGATTATGAGGATATTTAGGGGCCTCCATATGAAGAATGGCCTTTTACTCCGCAGTCCAGAAAAGAGACAGCTGACGGAGATTTGCAATATCTTAAAGGACTGAGAACATTAACTGGGAGTGGTGGCTCACTGTCTATCCTAATACAAGTTCTAGAGAACATGTAATGAAGTTGTCAGGAAGCCAATTCAAAATACACAAAACAGGCACCTCTTAACACATATACATGTAATTAAATGGAAGAGCTGATTGCTACAGTACATAAGTATGCTGAAAGGGTACCTGTTTTCAAAAGTGGTTAGGTAAATTCAGGGATCAGAGCCATTCAAGAGTTATCAAAATAATATCACCCAACTCTGGAACTGCCGGAACCATGGATGGAGGTACCAGAAGGGAAGTTACTGCTGTGTGCTTGTTCTGTTCTTGCACTCCTCAGTTAGAACTCTCTTACTTGCCTTTTGCAAGCTAATGCCAGGATAAGTTCCTGGTGGGGCTTTCTGACTCAAATCAGAATTGCTGTTTGAACATCCCTTGAAAGGATGAAAATTGAGAAAATTCATTTTCTTAACCAAATACAGCTTGCAATGTCACAGGCACTCTTGACTCTGAGTGTGGGTAAGGGGGCAGATCTGATTACCAGGTCCCCTGCATGTCTTTGATTTCATCCTCTGCTCTGTAACATTGTCTGTGATTTGTAAACTTTCTTTTTTGCTGTTGAGTCAGACATTTGCTGTGTAGGTCTTACCCTCACAAAATGTTTTTGCTTTATGGGGTGTGCTTTTTCAGTCTTCTTGTTATCTTATAAGTTCATTTGAATTATGCTGTGTGTCAAAATGTATGCATTATTAACTTAAGTGTTAGGTTTTACAGCTGTGAAGGGATTAAGAACTGCAAGGGTGGACCCATGGTCTGTCTGTGACAGTCTGAAGATGTCTCCTATACACATTGAAAGCTCTCTTATCTGACTTAGTATTTACTATTTTTGGCTTCAAGCAGAGAAGAGTTATGCACTGGGTGATGATCCTACAGCAGAAGCAGGGTTAAGGCTGGGCTGTTAGCCAAAATGTCTTTTACTAAGAAAATGTCTAAGTTGAGGGCGTTTTGAAGAACAGGCAAGCTACAACAGCTTACCAGATGCGTGTGTGTATACGTATACATGAATCTCTTGGAACTAGCACTGCAGTCACAGAGGGGATTTAAACTGGGGCAGAAAGAAGGCATTCAAAACCACAAAAATCCATTTATTTTAGTTTGTTTCGGTTTGGGGCTGATGGTTTGGTTCACTTCCTGCTTAGTTTGAGCCACTTTGCCCAGATTCCCATTTCTGCCATACCTTAACAATTTGAGGCATTCTTTTATGTTATGTTCATCACTTTAATCCTCTTAATCCTGTGGATCTTTCCCTCAAAAAAATAAAAAAGAAAGCCACCATGTTTGTGAGATGCTTTAGCTTTCACAGAACTAAGCAAACAGCTTTCATCTGCCCATATTTTTCCAAACGGTTTGTGATCTTACATCTTATCGGTACCTTCAGGATTTTACAGATAGCAGTGGCCCAGTCTTGTGCAGCTATAATTTCCTGAACACTCCTGAGTTTGGTTGTTGCTTTTCAGTATACATTGGGCAGGAGTTCCACTGTTTTTGGGTCCGAGTGGTTAAGAGCAAGAGGCTGTGTTCAAGTTTCCCACATTGCATTTGCAGTTTCTCCACTGGCCGCAGTATGTGCTCTCTGAAAAGTCTTTCAGCCTTTCTGCTTTACTAGGTCTAAATGTACCATTCTGGGGAGATAGGGCTGGCAGTGGTTTGAGGAGGTTGCTTTGAAAGGCTTAGGTGAAAGATGGCATTCCTGTATTACTCATTATTAGTGTTATGACCTGCCAGAGTTGGCTTAGGGAATACCACAACATCCAGCTGGAACCTGAACCCATTCTCAAAAGAGTGTAACCCAATTACCGTTGCATAGGGCAATTTTTAGGTCTTGTGCATGTTGGATGACTTATTCTTGTTTCCCAGATACACAGGGATGGTGGATAAAATGCATGGGCATGTGTATTCTGCCTCTGGGAGTGGCTGATGTCAGATGGTTCCCAGACATAAGCCTGTACAGCTGCTGGATTTGGTTATAATTTGAGGGCAGGTCCTTGTTTTCCACTCTATTTCTACTTGCTCTTTGGATAAATGGGATAAAACTGCCACCATTAATGCCTACAGCTCAGAGCATTGAGTGTCAAGCAAGATGCTGGAAAGAAAGCATTTTATAATAACTGTGTGTAGAGGATGCTGTGAAGGATTTGCACACCTTCAGCCTGCCTAGCCGCCTTTTTAAAAGGATAGAGCACAGGGAGATAATTCAATCCTTAGTCACTGAAGCCACATTCAAAATGCAATGCCATCCAATGAAAAATAATCATTTTATAGTAGTGAGTCACTCCTGGCTCCTTGGTGCCCTACAGGAGGAAACAAACAGCAAACATTTTGTGGGATTAATAGCAATGCTGAAAGAGGAGGCGGTGGCAGGGGAAACAGGTTGCAGTATGCTTGCCCTAAATCTGGTTGTTGTTATGTTTTATG